AGGGCATCCCTAGCAATGAAGTCTATGCCTGGGCAAAGACCAGAGTGGGTGGGGAGAACCCAGCCATAGAGAGCCTTGTCGAGTCAGGGTGGAGTATCTGGCAATTTCTCAGCAAGCCCTAGCATTCTCCAGCCCTCGCCTGTCCCCTGGAAAGGATCAGCTCCCCAGGGAGAAAGCCAGCTTACAGGTCTGAGCTGGCCTGCTCTTTTACACAGAGGAGCTGGTGGGGGAGGGGACTTGGTGGGGAGTGGTGGATGTAACACCCATGTCACTTGGGAAGAGGCAGAGTGGCCCACCGCACCTAGTAGTACCCTACAGCCTGGAGCCCAGCCCCTTGTCTCCCTTGGCCAGACTGCTGCTGTTTTAGGAGCTAGGTTTCCGGCTCCTTGATGGGAAGATAATGTCTGCCCACCTTTTCCCATGGAGCCAACATCTGTTCTCCACTTCTCTCCCCTGGGCTGTGCAGGTTCAGGCCGATCTGCACAAGAGCTTCACAGCATTGATCTGTAATAAAACCACAATATGAGTTCAGAAGAGCTCAAGATACAAGGAGATCCAGATCTCTCTCTCTCATGCACACCACACACACACACACCACTACATTCATGTGGACAAAAACATACTGTAAAGGTATATGCCAACAGCCCTTAATGTGGACCTTTACTATGTCAAAACATATAAATATCATTAATTTTCCCCTTCTCCCTGCCATAAATTTTGTTTTTCTCATCCAAAGTCTTCTCAGAGTCCATCCTCCCCTGTGTTCCGAAACAGTTGTGTGTAGCTCTGTATTAATGCATGCACCTTGGCATCACACTTATTTAATGGCTGGTCTGTCTCTGATGCTTTCCTTTTTCTTTCTTTCTTTTTTTTTTTCTTTTTGAGGTTTTCTCTCTGTAGACCCTGCTGTTTTGGAACTCACTCTGTAGACCAGGCTGGCCTCGAACTCAGCCTGGCATGTCTCTGAAGAGAAAGGTTCTGGTCCCATGCAAGTATGTGCCCAAATGCAATCTGGTATGTAGTTAGCAGAGGTGTTTAGTAAATAACTGTAAGTCCTTCCAATTTTAGTATATGTGCTGCCAAAGTGAGCACAAATGATTGCAAATCAGTGAGAGAAAAAAATGCACTTGGACATTGCCATCATTCCTAGAATCCCTTGAGAGATTCCCTGTACATGGCCCCTCCTTTCTTGTGTTCAGGTACCTTGATCTCCCTGCCTGTTTCTTCAGAGGCTATCTTTTTCCTCCCTTTTATCAGTGTGAGACCATGAATTTCAGTTCCACATGCCTGATAGCTAGCAGGCAAGGTAAGGGTTAAATAACACCTCATTAGTGTTTAATTGAGGGAAGGAAGCTGCCCTGGCACCAGACAGGTGGGCAAGCCTGCTCCTTGCTGGAACCAGGCATCCCTAGATCCAGCATCTCACCAGGCATGTGGGTGATTTGGCCCTGGAGACCTTCAACCCAGCCGGGGCACCTCCCCCCATTACTAGCTTTGCCAATTTGATCTCCAGGCAGTACCGACCAGCACTCCCCATCTGTCACCAACATCTAGAGGAGAGGCACACTCCTTATTCTTTCTCCTTTAGCTAGTCTTTGCCACTTCCCACCCCCAGGAGACTTTGGAGAGTGGGAGGAGGGGTGGGGAGCATGGAATTGGACAGTGGAGGAATACAGAGCCACCAAGGGATAGATTGCAGATACAGACAAGTGACAGAGATAGGGAGGTGGAGATGTCTGCCCAATTTGACCTTAAATGCACAGAATGCAAATGAGATGCAGACGATATGCAGATGAACACAGGATCTCAGAATTGACATTCCCCATGGCAGTGGCTCTGCACCCAGGGCACCGTGGCTGTTGCGAATAACCCCTACCTAAACTTTCTGGGTTGAGTGACACTGACCTTTGCTTTGAGTGAAAGAAAGAATTTTGAATAAGACAAGAGCTTGGTTGGGTGAAGGCTACAGAACCTGGGACGCTGAACTCCACTCTAGCTTCCCCATTCCATTTCCCAACGCCTTCTTAAAGCAGCTACAGGAGATGGGTCACAGCAGCTGGAGCAATGACCACTCTCAAGGTTACGCTTGGACGCACCGTCGGTTGCTATGGGGACCTTCGTTTCCAGGCCTGAACCAATGCAGATTGGCACTGATGACCTCATGTCCCAGGTTCAGGGATTCTATTGGCTACTCGAAAGCCAGAGTGCTCACTTTTCAACTGCGTCACTGCGGGGATCCCCCGACGACCTAGCTAGTGTGGCTAACTAAAAGAATGACAGCCCAGTTTACAGAGCACTGGATGAATGGATGGAGGAAGAAAATGTGGAAAAGCAAAGAGAGAGAGAGAGAGAGAGAGAGAGAGAGAGAGAGAGAGAGAGAGAGAGAGAGAGAAGAGAGAGAGAGTCACAGAAAAAGGCAACTTAGGAATTTGAAGGGCAATTTGCAACGTAATAAGTGTGGAGCAGGATCCAGGCAAAGATTCTCTCAAGCCTGGGAGACAGAGAGAGATTAAGTTTTCACATCTGTATGGCTGAGAAGAGGGTTGATTTAGTAAATTGAGGGCCTCACCTTCAGCCGTCTAGCGCCGCTGAATTTAGGGGAGACCAGTGACACCCAAAACTTGCAGGCCCATTTAACCTCTTGGAACTGTGCCCCTGAATACGCAGTGAAGACATCTCGTGGGTAGGGCCAGGCGCGGGAGGGCCGCCCAGAGTCTTCAGCTTGTATTGGTCCTAAGAGCAGACTGCATCAGAGCTTTATACCTGGGAGTACTCAGACCCGCAACTGCCATGCGTGCACGGCCCATGCTGTGAGGAAGGAGTTGGCTTGGCCTGAAGGCCTACAGCCTGAGGGCGCTAGTTTGCAACCCCCTAAAGTCTATATCCTGTGCCCACTCCAGCATTCGCCCTTGCACTTGCAAAGGCCTGGGATGCCTGCAAAAATACGAGTCTGTGTCAAGCGCAGTCTGAGACTGAGACCATGTGTCTGAACTCGAGAAAAGCTGACTAGGTCCCTGTCATTTTTGCACATTGGCGCTGCCAGCCAGAGTTCCTGCTGGGTCTGATGGCGGCAGCGGCGGGGTGGAGGGCTGGGTAAGAACCCCGTATTTCTGTATCCAAGGCAGGGACCGCAAAACTGTTACCCTGGTCTTGCCCTGCTCATGATTTCTCTGTCCAGGCACCGAGGTAACTGTATCTTTGGTTCCCATGGCAACACATCGACGCCCTCCAGGAAGATGGCAACGATGAAACTCCAACGCTGGACCAAAAGACTCAACCCACAGCTCCTCCCACAGTTCTTAGTCCGCTTTCTCTTCCACACATAAACATCTTTTTACCTGCTAAAGATCAACGTTTAGGGTCAGGAGCTTAACTCATACACCGGTAATGCGGTATTTTCTGACACTGCCTTGAATAAAGAGGTTAATAACTCAAAATCTTCTTTGCCCGCCCCCACTCTCTTTAACCCTGTGCCTTCAGCAGAGCCACAGAATTATCACAAACTGCGAGGGTCAGAGTCGTGTAATATATTCCATTCCTTTAGAGAGAGGAACCGGTCTGACCTAGGTGTGCAGGGAGACAGGAAAGGCTTGGCCATCCCCAGCATCTTGGTGCCTGTCCCTCAAAACCCCCCGCCGCATAATGTTCACACGCTGCCGCAGCCGGGTCGGGCTAATCAGCACAACATCCACCTATCGATCGCTGGCTCCACGCCAGGCAGGCGGGCACCTAGCCAGAGGAGCCTGCAGGGCACTAGGGAGGGCAGAGCGCAGGTACCGGGTGTTCTCTTCCTTGCTTCCACCTAGGGCACAGTTCAGAAAGAAGGACCTTTCGGGGTTAGGGGGTGTCAGTCTTATCTGAGCGAGAAAGCGACAATATTGGACTAAGGGCTGAAGGAGCCCTCTCTCCTGGAGCCCCACCCCCTTCTTATAAAAGCTCAGAACAAAGAGGCCGCTGGGGAAGAAGGCTTTGATCTGACCCCACCTTCCCAGTTCTAGGCCAGGCACCGCCCAGAGTGCCCTTGGGGAGGGGGAGGGCCTCAAACCTCCCTGCGACGCGCAGGCATTCTGAAACCCAGGTGCTTTTCGGTTTCCCCTGGGTTTTACCCCAGCACCGGGAGTAGGCACTGCTAGAGTGGGTAGTCAGCAGCATCTGCCACCTAGCACAGGAAGATGGTTGGGGAGGTGTGAGAGGGTGCCAAGCTCCACAGCTGCTGCTGGCACCTACCCCAAACTGCCCAGAAGGGTGCCCACTGATGTCTGGCATGGATGGCCTGGGCACAGCTGGCATGGAGGTCAGGCCAAGTCAAGCTAAGAGCTGAGGCCCCAGGGAGTTCAGGTGTCAAGGAAGAAGCCAGAAGGGAGGGTAACACAAAGATGGGTGGTTTTTAACATAAGTTTATTATTCGTGTGTGTGTGTGTGTGTGTGTGCATTTTCATGTGGCATGTTCATTGGCATGCCATGTGGCATGTTCAAAGGATAACTTCCAGGAATCTGTTCTCTCTTTTCCCTTTCCACCATGTGGGTTTCAAGGACTGATCTCTGGTGCTCAAGACTCTGTGGCAAGTGCTTTAACTTGCTGAACCTTCTCCATTTTTTTTTTTTTTTTTGGGACAGGGTCTAGTCTCTGTCTCTAGGCTGACTTCCTGCTCATGGCCCTGGCCCCAACCCCCACCCCCACCCCCAGGTGCTGGGATTACAAGTGTGAGCTACCATGCCCCATAAGAATGGGTGATTTATTGAAGGTTTGGTCCAAACACTTACAAAAATACAAACCAGCATGAAATTCAACCTCATGGCAAATCCGTCTTCACAGAAGACAAGTGAATGGCCCCCTGAGAGGGCAACAATTGCCCCTGGGAAGAGTCCTGGAGGGCACAGATGACAAGGCTTCTCCTTTGCTCTTGGCCAGGAACCCACCTGTTCCCAGGTCTTTGGCTTTGACCCCCAGTGGCTCAGGGATTTGATCCCACCAAATCCCCATCTTCTGGGGGGGGGGGAGGAGACAGACCATCAAAGCAGCTATACTCCAGGGCGTCCTGGACCGTCTGCTGTTCCCCCACAGTTCCTCTTCAGCCTGTGGTGAGGGACAGTCACCTACAAGGATCACCTCAGATCCTGACTTTCCACATCAAAGCTTCATCGAGTCTGCCTGGCGTAACATCACCAGTATGGTGGCAGGAATCCCTTCAACAGAGGAGCCTGGGGAGGGCTCTGGTTCCTTGGGGTGACAGGGAAGGTGTACTTGGCTCACAGAACTCGAAGGAGACGAAGTATGGGGAGCAGCAGCAGCAGCAAGAGAGACAGGGGGCTGGGAGCATGCTCTCCCCGCCACCCAGATGCGCCACTTTCTCCAGGGCTCCCAACAGGATGGGCTGACTCGGACCCTGTGAGGGAGGAGGAGGGGAACTGCCAGGTCTGCCTGCTTCCTCAGCAGCCTCCTCCCTGCCCTTCTCATTCTGTTTGCATTCTCTAGGGTCTCCCAGAGCAGCCATTATTGCCTTACCATGACCACCCTCATCCTTCCCAAACCCTAAGCCCAAGTCTTCCCAATCAATAGTCTTCAAGTCCAATTAAGGCTTTGAAGGATCTTGCCCCTTGGGAACCCCATTCTCTGTGCCCAGCTTTGAAAAGGGTGTGGTGGAAGCTCCCATGGGGATGACTTATGGGAGAGGAGGCTGTGCTTGACACCTAGCCTGGACCCCTTCGGTCTGATGTTCGGTTTTCCCCACTCCTCCCCCACCTCCCCAGGGCCTGGACTGGCTGCAAGGGCTGCTGCTTGTGAGGCCCTGGCCCACTTACTGCTTTCCTTGCAGCAGACAGACACCTGGAGTCTCAAGCACTGGCCAGAACTCTCCGGGGTTGGCACCGCTGATGGGAAATTGGGAGGAAGACGTTAGCAAAGAAAACCATCCCTTGGAGTCCAAGCCTTCTTGGCTTACCTTCCTTTGGGAGTCACACCAAGTACCGGCCCATCCATGCCTCTCACACCTCCCTAGTCCTCCTTGCTGGCTTCCTCACTCTCTTCTCCGCACAGGCACAACCCAACCAAACCCCCGAGCCTTAGGAGCCACAGCTCCTTTCCCCACAGCCTTTCCTTCCTTCCTCTGACACAAAGCAAAGGCAGAGAGCCCGTTCTTCCCCCCACTCCTCCCAGGAGGCATGTAGTATCCCTGCTCACTCACAGATGTAGTAGTAAGTCTCTCCAGGCAAGAACTCGAAGCCCAGGGAGAAGGGTGTGAAGCGCTGAATCTTTTCTGAGAATCGAACAGGGCCAAAAGGGGCAAAAGGCAGCGAGCACTTCCATCGCTGGAAGGCATTTGCCCCCTCTGCCTTGCAGGCCTCATAGCCTGACCAGTCCACCATGTATAAAGCAAAGGTTTCAGGTCCCTCTGGGGGGCCTGGGCTTTCATAATGTGGGCAAAAGATGTCTAGGTAATCGTTGAGGCCCAGCTCCACCACAGCATCCCCTCGAAGCAGCCTGTGGGTACAAGGGAGTGTGAATTGATGGGTTATAGTATTGCACAATCGGGACAGGTATGGGGTCTGAGCCAGCCTCTCTCATACCCACATGCGTTTCCAAGAACGACCCACCCCTTTTCAATTTTTTTTCTCCCCTTTTTTGGTAGCTGGGACAGAATCTAAGGCCCACATGCTAAGTGCTCTACCACTGGGCTAGCCTTTTAACTTTTTCTTTTGGAACAGGGTCTTGCTAAGTTGCCCAGGCTGGCCCTGAACTCACTCCTAAGTAGCCGAGGTTACGGCCCGTGCCAACTCCTAGACTGAATACCTCCCTGAGAGGCAGTGTATAGGTAATAAATGCGATAAGTCAGTTTTAGAGAGGAGGTTCTAGGGCTGTAGTGCCCAGCCCCGAAGGCTTCCCTCTCCTCCCTATCTTTCAGGACACAGTCTGGGCAGCCCATTGCCCCACAGGGGCCTGGCCTACCATCTGTGCATGGTAAATGCTAAGAGGGCGAGTGCTGCCAGGAGGCCAAGGCCGAGGCAGGGCGCAGATGCATGCCCACAGGGCAGTTTGGGAGATGAAGTGGGAACTCAGGGTCTTCAGCACCATACACCAAACAGGCATGGTAAACAGAGTGAGTGAACAGCAGAGGAGGCAGAGGCAGGTGGATCTCTGTGAGTTTGAGGCCAGCCTGGTCCAGGGCAACCAGAGAAACCCTGTCTCAAAAAAAAAAAAAAAAAAAAGAAAGAAAGAAAAAAACAAAACAAAACAGAGAATGAGTATGTAGGGCTCCTTCTTTTGAAGAATCACATTGTGTAGCCTAAACTGGCCTTGAACTTATGACCCTCCTGTCTCATCTCAGCCTTTATCATCATCATTACTGTTTTTAGTTACGTGTGTATGGTTCTGTGCATGTGAGCCAGCACAGGTGCAGGAGGAAGCCAGAGGTGGTGGCTGCTCTGGGGCTGGAATTAGGGAGTTGTGAGCCCCATGTGCCATCTCGAGACTGGGATTACAGGCGTGTGCTACCACACACAGTCCAGCTTCCTTTTTTGACCAGACAAGTAAATGCTAGGTATAAAAGAGAATCCCACCACCACCACATACACGCAATGGAGTTCCTCTTCCTTGTCTGTCAGAAGCAGCCTGGGGGAATTAGTACAGGAAAGAAGGGCTGGGACAGGCCTTCTCCAACACCACGCACATAGTAAAGCATTTAGAAAAGGCCTCTAACGTCCTTCAGGGGGTAGCCAAGAACCACCTGCTGTAGGAACTCTTGATTAGAAGGATTCCCGGGCTTGGCCCAGATCACTAGAAGACAAGCTGAGGGAAGATAGCATCTTTGTATGTTTCATTACACTGGGTGTGGAAAAGCACCCCTACAAAGCCAGAGCTTGTATATTTGGTGAATGAACCAGTAACTCAAGAGCTGGGGGCTGAGGCACTGGTCTGGAACTGAGATAGAAGCCCAGAGTTCAGGATAACAATAGTTCTAATCATCCAGTCCTGGTATTGGAAAGACTATCTCAGGCCTGCCCTCCTGGGGGTCTTTGGCCTCCCACAGGGCTGTGTCTCCGCCTCTCAAATTGGCAATGCCCAGCAAATCAGCACTAGTCTTGACACACAGTATGTGCTTATCAAACGTTAGTGAATAAATGAACAGAGCCACAGATTGTCTGAAGCAGAAAATCAGAAAGGAAAACAGATGGGAAGGCAGAAAGGCAGGGAGAAATGGAAGGCAGGATGCAAACAGCAAAAAAAAAAAAAAAAAAAAAAAAAAACCGAGGTTCAAAGGCAGCCAGCTCAGCAGAGAGGAAGAAATACGAATTTAAATCTATCTGTACAGCTGCACTGCTTTTCACAAGCCTGACCTCAGTCAGTCCGCTTGCTTCCCAGGGTACTAGGTATTATTAGCCCATTTTGTAGATGACATAACTGAGGTTAGCAAGGTCAAATGACTGGCCCACAGGTGAATCAGCTGGAGGGGCAAGGCTAGGATTGGACAGAAATAAAATCAAGATAGAAGCTGAGATATCAAACGAATTCAGAGGCCGAGGAGACCTGAGAACCAGAGAGGAACTCAGGCTCTTTCACTAGGGTAAAGACCCCTCCCAAGTTCTCAGCGGTCCGCCCTAGCTCCTGCCCGCCGGAGGTTGGGGCTCCAGGAAAGGGGGGCGGGGCCCGGAATGCCGGCCCAGGGCCCCCAGCTCCCAGCTTTCAGACTCTACCCGACCACCCTCAGGACTAGGGTCCTCCGCCCGCCCCCCAACACGTTCGGGCGGGGGGACCCCGGGCACGCCTCGCCCCTCCCCCGCCGGCTCAAACAAAGGAGCCCCGGCGCGCGGCTGGGCAGGGCTCAGACAGCGCCTTGCAAAAGGCGAGTGGCGAGCGCGCGCACAGCTTAGGGGCGCGCGGGCCCAGCTTGGCGCTCGCCTGGTTCGGCCGGGCTACCTGGGGTTAGTGGAGTTCCAGTAGACAGGGTGGCGGAGGCTGTAGCACCCCCGCAGGCGCGAGCCGAGCAGCGCGGCCCAGAGGACAGTCCGCAGCAGGGGCAGCAGCCGCATCGCCCCTGGGCTCCAGTCTGGTCTGGCCCGGCTGGTCCCGGCCCGCTTCTCTGTCCCGGCGAGAAAGGTACAAAAGTGGAGGGGGGGGGGGTACGGAAAGGAGGTGGGATGTGGAGACTCTTAGACCACACCCCTGGATAACTTTCCACCAATGAAAACTCGTCTCCGCCTCTCCACCCAGGGCCAACTCCTGTTAACCCTTTGTGCGTTCCTGTGCGCTCCAGGTTAGTCAAAGCTTCCTTTGTGTCTCACTGTGCTGAGAGTGGACCTATTCCACTAAGGAGTTTTTTTTTGTTTTGAAGTCTTTGGTTTCGGTTTGTGTGTGTGTGTGTGTGTGTGTGTGTGTGTGTGTGTGTGTGTGTTGTGAGAGTTGTCAACAGGCGGAGGTTCACTTCTGCCCCTTTCCACCTTATTCTTTTGAGACAGGGTCTCTCACTGAACCGGGAGCTCGCTCATTGGCTAGGCTTGCAGTCCTGTAAGCTTGAGGCTGGGGGATCCTCCTGTTTCTTGCTCCACCCCGCCCCCTCCCACACGAGGGGTTGGGTAACAGAAGCAAACCACTACACCTGTGGGCTTTTTACATGGCGTGCCGGGGATCTTAATTCAGGTAAGCACTTTACCAAGGCTGAGTCCTCTCTCCAATCCCTGCTTTCAGACTCTATCCGATCACCCTCAGGACTAGGGTCCTCCGCCCGTCCCCCAACACGTCATGTTTTGTTTGAAACAGGGTCTTAACTCTAAAGCCTGGCTAGCCCGGGACTTATATTGTAACCCAAGAAGTCCTCAAATGGTAATAATCCTTCTGCCCCATTCTCCCTAGTGCTGGGATTACAGCCATGCACTCATGTACTATCACCTAAGAGGGCTGGGCTTTGTTCAGATCTTTTGTGTTTGCATTTGTTCAAGGTATAAAGCCTTGTTGAACGCCTGGGAGCCAGAGCTGATCTGCATAAGCAATTCCATGCACAGTCTCAGGTACTGGGAGAATCCAGGGTTCCAGCCAGCTTGAGCTACACAAGATAGTTCACATGGGTGCGCGTGCTCACACACGTGTACATACACACACACACACACACATACACACACACGGCCAACACCTGAAACCCCAGGTATTTTTTGGAGGCTGAAGCAGAATTACCTTCCATGCATTGCTCTTTTCTTTGGACATCCAGAGAATGCTGCAAGAGCAAGGCATGAAGTGCCTCTGTGGACACCCCCATTTCCATCAGCCTTAGGTGTCATACTGGGTGACCACTTTGCAATAGAGCCTGCCCCTTATCTGCACACACCTTCTCTCTCCCAGGAGGCCTCAGTCCTGAGGACCAAGTGATGAGGTAGTAGCAATCTGTACAAAGCACAAAGCACCTTTGTTCTAGAGCCTTCAGGTGGGGGTAGGGAGGTGGAGGGAGGAGGCAGGTGTGAAGCCTTGGAATCCAAGCATCTGCTGCCCTGCTCCACCCAGGCTCAGGGCTCTGAGAAAGCCAGTTAGATCCATTTTCCCAGCCACTGGACAGAGGGTGGGGATGCAGGTCTGACAACTTAGGTCATGTGTCTATAGCTGTGGGGGTAGGGGGGGCTGGAGAGGACTGAACAGCATTGGCAGAGAACTTGGAAACTAAAGGCCATCCATCCGAGACTGGGCAGAAGAAAGCTACAGGTATCCTCAGTGGCAAATTCTAGTTGACCCTTTCTGGGATGTCATCCTCCCCAACAGGCCCTGGTCTGACCCAGCAGCGTCTCCTAGTGGCCTGATCTGGAAACAGCAGAACTACCCAGCTTCCAGGAGCCACATTCCAAGATCTTCCAGGAGCCACATTCCAAGACCTCACATTTATTACAAAAGAGCAGAGACAGGCTGTAGGCTCTCCACCACCTACTCCAACCCCAGCCCCTCCCCAACAGTCAGGTGCCTGGTGGTGGGTGGCTCCTTAGGGCTGGACACTGCATTGTCTAGGCTCCTTCCTGGTCCTCTGGTCATTGGAGTTGACAGAGATTTCGCTTCTTTAAGCCTTAAGTCTGGGCAGGAGGCAGTCACACCTCCAGAGATGTCAGAGGTAGAGCGAGGATACTCCTGGGGGTGGTGGGGCTGGCCTGGAGTTTACAAAGTCGGGGGGAAAAAAGTCACAACTCTCCCCCCAGGCGCCTCACCGGCAGTAAGACACCCACTGATCCCCAGCAACACCCTCACCCACCTGGAGGGCAGCACCAGCTGCAGGCTTCCTTCTCCTGGGCCCGGCAGGTCACCTGATGGGTGCCTGCCCTGTGGGTTGGCGGGCAGTGGCTTTCTTGGGGGCGGGGGTTTGGAAGGCCCCTGAGACTGAGGAAGAAGGCCAAGTGGGAGGGTGCCACGGTTCCCACCCCCAGTGGAAGGGGTTCAAGGAGCAGTGCTAATTGTCACCTTTGTCTCCAAACAAACCTGTCACTCCCTAAGGTACCTTTGGGTTACATGCCCTCAGGCATAGAGAGGGAGGCATCTTGCCATTGCCACCACAGCTCTGGGTGGGAGAGGCAATGCCCTGCTTTCCCCTCACTGTTACCTTTGGGTGCCTCACCACAGGGTCAGCGGGCAGTGGGCGAGTGGGGGGATTGGATCGGTCAGCCAGCTCAGCCTGAACAAAGAGAGGAGCGGTGGTTCTGACAGCGCAGTCGAAGGTGGTGAGCATGCAGAGGCTCCCCAGGGTCAGCATGCAAAGTCAGCCAGGGGGTCAAGGGAAACAGGGAGCATGCGCAGGGGGCTTTGGGTGCTTGCCAACAGACAGGAGCCTCAGAGAAGGAAGATGGAGATCAATCATGAAGTCCCTGGATGGCTGTAGTCCTACTATTGACCACCAGGTGGTGGTAGAGACCACGGCTGGAGTCTCACCCTTTGCTGTGTCTGGGATTTTGAAGGCTGAGGGGGGCACCCTGGTCTCCTAATGAAGAACACCGCTGGGGGGAAGCAGGGGTGAGAACTGGGATTGGGCACCTAGCCTCCCACCTGTCCTGAGCCAGGGCGAGGCCCAGCCCAGATTTACCTGGAGTTTCTTGGGCACAGGGTTAGGTGGCAGCGGCCTGGAGGGGGGCACCGGAAAGATGCACGCACTAGCTGGCTGAGAGGGCGGGAGGAGCAGATAGGCAGAGTGGGCAGGAGAAACAGACAGATGTGGGCAGAAAGGGGTTAGTGTTCAGACATGGGCAGCAGGGGCCCAGAGGCAGTGGGCAGTTACTCAGCTGCATGCAGGGGAGTGGCATGCAGACTGGCTCCGTACACACCCTCCTGGCATCCTAGGCGGAGGGCAGAGGCACTCTGCATCCTTTCACACATGGCATCCTGGGCCTTGTCAGATCTTAGCACACAGAAGGCCCTTTTGCACACCACCCCATTATTCCATGGCACTGGTTGCTGATAGGTAAGGATAGAAGCACCTCAAAGCTACCAACTTGGCTTGAAAGAGCTCAGCAGGAGACTGGCCAGGCAATCTTGCTGTACTCTGGCTGTTTCTCTGCCTGCTGCTGGTCCTGACTCCTTGGGCTGACTGAACACTCCAAGTCTTTTTTAGTCCTGAAACTTTAGTGCCACCTCTAGGCCTGAGGTAGGTACCAAGTAATGTGGAATCTCTCTGCTCGGGCATCCAGAGCTTACCTTAGTGCCTGGCATCTGCTGTGCCCTCTGTGGAGGTCCTGGCCGTTCAGGAGGATTTGGTTGGGCTGCCCTGAGTATTAAGAAAGACAAAGAGAGAATGGGACTAGCCATCCACCTGCTGATCTGGGAGAACTTAACCCTTTAGCCCATGGAGGGTGTGGTTTAGGCCAGGGGTGTGGCTGAACAGCCTGGAAGAAGGCTACCTTTCCCCGGCTTTGGGGTCCTGAGTGAAGTGGCCCTAGCACCTGGGGGATACCTGTGAGTGAAGTTAAGGGATACAAGTAGACATGGTAAGTAGGTGTATAGGAGTGGTGGTCAGGAAGTCCAGGGTCTGAGAGTTTGGGATTTAGATGTAGGGGGTAAAGACTGCATGGCTTGGGCCTTTAGACGAAGGGGCTTCAGAACTGTCCTTCAGCAGGGAAGGGATGTTCATACCTATATTGGCAGCTGGATCCCTTGAGCTGGCAGAGTCGCTGATGCAGGTGGGCACGGTGCCAGTAGCTGGCACCAAGGAGGACTAGGACCAGTAACAGCAGGAGGCTGAGGAGCAGGCCCGTGGTCAGGGAGCTGGTTGCTATGGAAAGAAGTCAGTGCTGAGGATGGGTATGGCGAAGGACCGAAAGAGGAGCAGGGACGGGGAACAGGTGAAATGCTCAGAGACCAAAGGTAGTGTCAGGAGTCACAGAATCAAGGAACTGGAGGTGGAGGGGTCAGGAAGAGGACCAAAGAGAAAGGTGATGGGTGGAGCCATTCCACCCGCCCCAGTGCCCTGGGCCCATCTCACTACCTCTGAGCTGAGTCACGCAGTCAGGAGGTGCCCAGCCCTCCTCACAGTGGCAGTGCCTGCTGCTGTCACAGACCTAGAGGTACAGAGCAATCAGCAAAGGTATCTGTAAGATGGGACCATCTCCCTGTAGTGCACCACCATCACCAGCCTTTATCAAGCTTTTCAAGAGCTTAGACTTCTCAGACTGCCGGGAATGCTGTGGCTAATGGGTAGATAGACAGTCCTGAAGAAAAGGAAGTCTTTATCCATGCCAGGGGAAATGACAGCAAACTAATGCCTTTAGCATGTTGGTCACTAGTTAGCAGCTTTCACACCCATTTCATGCCCTCCAGGACATGGGTATCATTAGTATTCCACTTGAACCAGGAAAACTTCAGAAAGGTTAATCACATGCCCCAGGAAGTGGCGAAGACTGAAGCCAAGGTATATCTGCTTCCCGAGCTCCTTTTTCCTTCAGCAGGCTCCCTCCCCGCTTCATCTCCTCCACAGCAGCTCACCCCATGGCCATGGCATTTGCTTCGACATTCTTGTGCTCCCAGGAGATCCACGGGCTGGCAGCGATGGTCAATGCACACCTGCTCCATAGGGAGAAGAGCAGAAATTGCATTCTCATAGAGCCTTCTGGGGACTGGGCCTGCAAGGCTATGGGACTACCCTTTACAGACGTGAAACTGTAGC